CAACTAAGGGAGTTGGATGGATCTGAGATTTCATGGACAAACCCAGCTCCAGCATCCACGCGGTTTTGTAAACCATTAAGGATTCAGTTTGTTAAAGAAACTAAAACTTCGTTGGTTCAGGAAGAAGATCATTTTGAAAATCAAATAGCAACGCTTAATCCAACAATTTTCATGATTGATGACGAGCATTCGAGTAAAATTCACCACAAACTTTCGATGACGATGATTGACGGAAAAGCTAGAAATATGTTGACAGAGACATCATCCATGGCTACATGTTGTGCATGTGGAGCAACACCATCTAAAATGGCGGTTACATCAGCAATCCAAAGGCCAGTAAATACATCCGTTTATGCATTCAAAAATCGTTTTTTCGAGTGCTTATTACATGTTACTTACAAAATGGACATCAAGAAATGGAGTGCCAAGCAAGATGACTACTGAGAGCGGAAGCACGTAATTCAGGAACAACTTCGCCGGGAATTGGGAATTCTAGTGGAGACGGTTAAACAAGAATCCGGTAGTATGAATGACGGAAACATCGCACCATCTGAAGTGGCTGCGATCACAGGCCTGAACAAGGAATTAATTGAAAGGTTCAGCGTTAACTTGAACGCATTGGCACGTGGCTTTACCTTCGATTCAGTTATCTTTAAAAAGTACACTTTAGAAAATGCCCAGCTCTTCGAAGAACTTTATCCATGGTACTAAAGGGTGATACGGTCAAAATTTGGTCAATATCAACTTGACGTATTTCTTTCAATTTTGCATTTAAAAAACCTGAACACCCCTCATTTTGAAGGTGTGTGTGTGTAGAATGTTGCTCCTATTTTGGTTTTGGAATTCACTCTTCAGTTGTCAAAATGCCGTCCAAGCAAGAAGAGCAGCGTATCAAAATTTTGCTCGCGCATCGCGAAAATCCGAGCTACTCGCACGCAAAGTTGGCAAAATCGCTAAAAGTTGCCAAATCAACCGTTACAAATGTAATTAAAGTGTTTGGGGAACGTTTGTCGACAGCCAGGAAGTCTGGATCGGGGGGAAATCGAAAACCGGAAGCCGCTGAGACGACAAAGAGAGTTGCCGGTAGTTTCAAGCGAAACCCTAACCTCTCTCTCCGAGATGCCGCAAATAAGCTGGGTGTATCGTCTACAACCGTGCATCGAGCCAAAAAACGAGCCGGACTATCGACTTACAAGAAGGTAGTGACTCCAAATCGCGATGATAAACAAAATACGACGGCCAAAGCGCGATCCCGGAGGCTGTACACGACGATGCTGACGAAGTTTGACTGCGTGGTAATGGACGACGAAACCTACGTCAAAGCCGACTACAAGCAGCTTCCGGGACAGGAGTTTTATACGGCAAAAGGAAGGGGAAAGGTAGCAGATGTTTTCAAGCACATGAAACTGTCAAAGTTCGCAAAGAAATATCTGGTTTGGCAAGCCATCTGTACCTGTGGCTTGAAAAGCAGCATTTTCATAGCTTCCGGGACTGTCAACCAAGAAATTTACGTGAAAGAGTGTTTGAATAAACGTCTGCTGCCTTTCCTGAAGAAACACGGTTGTTCCGTACTGTTTTGGCCGGATTTGGCATCTTGCCATCTTGCCGGTAAAAAGGCCATGGAGTGGTACGCCGCCAACAACGTGCAGGTGGTTCCCAAGGACAAGAACCCTCCCAACACGCCAGAGCTCCGCCCAATTGAGAAATACTGGGCTATTGTCAAGCGGAACCTAAAGAAGACCAAAAAAAACTGCTAAGGGCGAGCAGCAGTTCAAGGCAAACTGTCTTTCTGCGGCGAAGAAGGTGGACAAGGTGGCTGTACAAAATCTGATGGTAGGGGTCAAGCGTAAGGCCCGGCAATTCGGATTTGGAAAAGCGGAAGCCTAACTGAATATTTTTCCTGAATTTTATACTAATTGAACTTGAAAAAGAAATTTAATTTGATTTTTTAAATAAACGATTTCACCGATTTACACGCGTTTTCCCTTGACCAAATTTTGACCGTATCACCCTTTACATGCCAGCATCAGTACATTATGTGTTGATCCATGGTGCTGACATTATTGCTTCGATGGACTTGCCTATGGGGCTTTATTCAGAAGAAGCACTAGAAGCAAGAAACAAAAATATCAGGTCATTTAGAGAACACCGAACTTGTAAAGTTTTCGTGAAAGCCAGTATGACCGATTTGTTTCACAGGCTTTGGATTACCGGTGATATTCTATTTTCATCTTTTGAGGAAATACGAACCCAAGGACATGGAAGAGTTGGGCGAATCAGTAAGAAGTTCGATTCTATAAGTATTTGGACGTAGGACTACGTCTGTGATTTCTAAATGGGCGTACACTTTGTGAAAACCGAAAATCGAACATGTAACAAAATTATGAAAGATTTTGAACGTTAATAACTCAGCTGCCCCTGGACCAATTTCAATAATTTTATCACCAATCGATCAGAAATATTTCTACGCATCTGCAAATTTAAGACTTCATCATTTTTCAAAATGTCACTATTGAAAATTGTACGAATGTGCAATTGTTGCAATGATAATTAAAATTATTACCGATTGTCTGCGAAAAGCGATTTCCCTAACACAGATTTCAACGTTGAATTCCATCCGGTCTCACCAAACGGTGTTTATTCGATTACCTCGTGGTGAGTGGTGGTGTTCTCCAGTACACAACGAAAGGCTCCCCGCAAGCAGCTAGCTATCAAGGCTGGCCTCAACCGCTGATCGTATTCAGTTCCAATCACCGTGTGTGGTAGTGTCTGGTCGTCGGCATCAGCTGCAGTGCTTTCGACGCATGGCGTTCAACATTGTTCTCCAGTAAACAACGAAAGGCTGCCGGCAAGCAGCGAGCTGTAGCCCACATGGGCATCCATAGAAGGAGGAAGAAGCCGCACCGCTATTGATCGGAATCAGTAGCTCTTCGTGAGTCGCTGTGGGCTATCTATGCCAAGCGCGTCACACTAAAGAGTATAAACAGAGGGAACTACGCTCAAATTCCTATTCCTACACAAAACACAAGCTCCTGCTGCAGTTAACAAATAAGATTTATTATATAAGACCACGTAGTCCTACGTCACCATTGCGTACAACCCCAAAGGGCTGTCCCTTGTAGTTTTTTGGCTTGTATAATATAATTAGATTTAATTAATTTTTAAGTAACATTGATTTGTCACATAACCGATACTAAGTAAAATTATAAACATAATAAATGATTCTCTCAAACAACAATCAACAAACAACGTATCACAAAATAAAGAAAATTTGAGATCAGCAAACTGCAGGAAAAAATTCAAAACTTCATTCAGATTATGGCCACTTCCATGGAGGCACCTGGAACATATCCGGATGTGGATCGGGTAGTTAGCAGGCTTGGCGGTTACTTGGGTAGTGCGGTTCTAGATTCGTCTGGAGTTCGACCGGCTATGGTGACTAGTGAGCGACGAGGACACTCATCGAAACGGGGGAGTAACTATAAGTTATAAGATATATAAAAAAAGTTAAACTGTAGCAACAAATAGAGCAGAACGGGCTAAGGACACCCGAATATAGGATGTCCCAGAAAGTATAAGCACACTTTCAAATCGCCGCCATTTCTACCACAATGAAATTTACCAGCTGCTCATCGATGTGTGTTGTTGTTTACTTATTGCTCAACAAGTTTGTGTGCGCAAAGTGCATTTTTTTACAAACTTAATTTCCCCGGAAAAGCGCAAACAGATCGTGCACAAATGGTGCACTATTCCCAACCTCAAAACTAAGGCGTTCAAATGAATCATATCATATTATTTGAATATTACTTCAAAATAACCGGTCCAGAGCCTCTTAGATGTTCCGAAATCTGGACCACTTTTCACTCCGACAACACATCAATTTATACTAACTTTCAAAGGCGAGTATGATGGAGTATCAGAGATCCATCTTAGGCGAAATCTGGCCACAGTTGCCAGTATCAGGATCTTACAAAATCCGGTTCTGAGGACCGCATTTCACTCCGACAGAACATGGGAATGTGACACATCAATTTACGTTAATTTTCAAAGGCGAGTACGATGGAGTACTAGAGATCCTTCCTGGAAGTAATGTGTGTGACAACGGTGGCCAGAAGCCTGATCCGGTTCTGAGGACCACTTTTCGCTCCGAAAGAACATGTGCATGCGACACATTAATGTACGCTAATTTCGAATTGGGGGTGTGATGGACAAAATTTCTTGCAACAAAAATTCATGTATTTTTGCGATTTGGCCTACTTTGTTACTCACCCACCTCGATTTTACGAACATTTTCATTTCGAAATGCACGCAATACTTCTGTTATTACACAGCAAAAAATAAATTTTAATATTACACCCAAAACGATGCACTTCAATCATGTCGAAAATCTCATGTAATGTCAGTTCATGCACTGTATTAATGATAATTTTGGCCTTTTTGGTAAGTAATATTCCACCATATTTTTGACACGATTGAAGTGCATCCACTTTGATGTGATATCAAAGTTAATTTTTGTACGGTTTTTATTAAATCAATATAAACCATGGTGGCGACGATCCCGGCGTAGCGGATAACACTCATACCTCTCATAATTGTTATAAATCAATAGAGCTCATCATAAATGTGTGAATCTAGTACAAACAAGGAGGCTTAGCAAACAAGTAACCTTTTGGATTCCTGCGCTACATGTTATGGAGAGAAACTCTCTTTTGTAAGAAGAGCAATGTTTCATCCCTGGAGCATTTCCTCCATAAGTTTGATAGGTTTTCCTCGATATAATGGAACGTTATTTAGTATAATACATCGTCCTAAAAATCTATTTAAAAAAAAAACTCCTAAGAGCTGTTTACAAACTACGAAGACAGTTTGGGAAGGGACTAGGCTTGTGTCACACAAATAAAAAAAAATAACTTCTATCTGCATAGACGGGGTATCTCTCAAAACCTGTCTAACTAGTATATAGACAGCATCTAACAAATCTTTTCCTAATTAAATTCCAGGACGGCACCTTCTCGGTGGTGGACTTTATGGAGGCATTCCAGGAGCACGAGGTACAACGGGTTCTGCGTGCCTACCCGGAGACGATCACCATGGACGTGCACTGTGCTCCGGTCGGCAACTGGCAGGCAATCCAGGACAAGACATTTGCCCGACTCTGTCGCATCCGGCTGAATCCGGTCGATGTGCTGAGTTCGGGCAGTGAAAAGTTGAATGCATTCGTAGACTATCTGGCAGCGATGATCGTGCCGACGGAGATTTCCGAATTGTTGGAAAGTTCCGACGTGGTCGGCAATATCCGTTTCAGCCATCCGACACTGTATGTCTTCCCCGGTGGACAAGGCGATGCTGCACTTTTCGGAATCAACGGGTTCAACATGTTGGGTAAGCCGAGAAGAATATGAAGGAAACAACCTATGTTCGCTAATATTTCGATTTCACTTTACAGTTGACGGTGGTTTCAGCAGAAAATCATGCTTCTGGGACTTTGTGCGCCATCTGGATCGCTTGGATGCAGTACTGATGACCCGAGTCAACAATACCAACATCAAGGGCATCTCGGCAGTAGTCGAGCGTAAGCACGAAGCTCATGTCTATCCACAGATTGGGCACTTCTTCTGCAACATTCCGGAACGCAAGGGACTCCTCAGCCCCGATGGTGATAAAGATCGCGATCCCTTGCTAGTCGATCTCATCGAGGAAGGTCACCAAATAGTGACAAACCTGAAAACTTTAAACTTGAAAGCACAAAATTGCTACCGTGATGCTGAACCCATCAATCTGTACCATAAGGTCGGTCATGGAACGCTAGACATGTACGTCATCAGCCCGGCTAAGGATTCCAAAGAGGTGAAAGAGTTCCTGGCCAAGTGGAACGCTGCCGATCCGAAGCTGTTTGCTCCAAAAGATTCCAAAGAATTCGTATTCCCCATGCAGAATATAATATCAATCTGCGCCCTGCTGGTTTGGACCCCGGCCAATCCGGAGGACAACATCACCAGAATACTCTTCCCCGGATCCGCACCAGAGTACAAAATCCTCGAAGGACTGGAAAAGATGAAGAACGTAGAATTCATGCGCCAACCAGTTTGCACCGTCAAGTCAATCGCGCCGAGCATCTCGTCGCAAGCACTCACAAAGAAATCACTGAAATCATCATCCATCGATAAGATCATTCCCGAGCCAATCCTTCCGTCCAAGTCAACGAAACCATCTGAGAAGGATAATAAGATTTTAGACAACAAGATGAAAATGATCGACAACAAACTGGCCGACGCCACCAAGAGCTCTTCGGACATCATGGATAGCTCGGCGGATGAAGGAAAGCTGGAAAAGCATCTAACGAAGTCAAGTGTCGCTACCATTGCCACGGCTAAGGTTACACTCGGCAAATCGAAGGCGTTCAAGACGACATCTACCGAATCGAAAAAGATCGACAGCATGTTGATCGAATCGAGCAAAAAGATTGACCTAGACGAAAAGAAGGACTCTTCAGATGGCGGCTCCGATAAGGATGAAACCGAAAAGAAGGTAGCCGCTGAAGAAGCAATCCCAGAGAAGAAGCTCGATCAAGATAAGGACAAAAAAGAAGACGAACAAAAAGACTCCAAAAAAGACGAATCAGTAGCTGTGAAGGAAGACACCAAAGCCATTAAAAAGTCTTCCGAGAAATCGGGCAGACCAGCTACAGCTCGCTCACGATTTGACTCCAAGCCTCCTAAGGCAACAGCGAAACCGATCAAGAAGAGGGAAGAGACCAACAAATCTTCTCCTACGACTCCCAAAAAATCAGTAGAACCCAAATTGACTAACGGAGTGTCGAAAGACGATGAACCCAAGAAGGCAGCTGGTCCTCCGAAGACCACGAAGCCTATCGGCACCAGACCAGGTAAGGCAAGCCCGAAAAGCACACCCGCCAAGAGTGCTAAGGATGCCAACAACCGAAAGGTATTGGAAGCGCGTCAACGACCGGCTGCTAAACCCACTCCGGCTAAGAGAGACTCTACGGAAAAGAAGGAATCTCCTCCCAAGTTCGAACGCAAACCGATTTCCCGTCGCCCGAAGGGTACCACGCCAGCCTCCGCCGTAGGAGGAAGTCCCATCAAGGCCAAGAAGGTACTCAAATCCGAGAAGGATGCCGTCATCCGTAAGGCCAAGCTGGATAAGAACGGAACTACCGATTCCAGCCTGGTATCCACGCCTAGTGCCGACGAAGCTGGAGTTGCCGTACAGAAACGCATCGTCGATACGATAGCTTCTGCTGCAGCAGGGGGAACTGATATTGACGCCATTCAACAGCAACATTTGGCCGAACTGAAGGAGGAACAAGAAGCGGTCCGTGAAATTGAAGCCGTCTTCAAGCGTGACTCCAACCAGGTAAAACGGCGCGAAATTCTGTCCGAACATCGTGAAATTCAAGATAGCACTACCGAACCGGAAGAAGAGGAAGAATACTTGATCATTGAAAAGGAGGAACAGTATACGGAAGACTCGATCAATGAACCGGAGAGCAGTGCTACGAAGGAAGAAGAAATTCAGAAGCACCAGCGCGATTCCGAAGAATCGGAGAAGCGTAAGCGCGACAGCTTGGAAGGAGAGAAAGAAGAGAAAGCTGATGTGGCAAAGGCTGAGGGTGAATCGGCTGAGGTGGTTGAAATCATCGAAGGTGAGCAGGCAGACGATGAACAACAGATAGAAGAAGCCAAACAAGATGATAAGGAATCTGTGGTCGAGAAAGAAGCTGTCGAAGATGTCAAAGAAGAACCGAAGGAAGCGGAAAAGCTGTCTCCCAAGCACAAGCAGGATATCGAAGAAGAAGTTCAGGATATCATTGCTTCCGCCAAGGAGATTGCCAAGTCTAAAATGGAAACCTCCATGGACGGTCTAAAAACGGAAGAAATGTCATCGATCAGTCCTGACGAAAAGGTGAGCAGTACCAAGAAGACAAGCGACACGCGAGATGAAAACGAGCCGGAACCGGTTCCAAAGGAACACATCGAACCACCGCACGAGAGCCATCACGAAGAACGAGTATCGGCTACAGCAGAATCAGGTGCAACTACAACGGCTCCAACATTGCCTGAAGACGAACGTATTCCGCTAGACGAAATCAAGGAAGATTTGGTAATCGAAGAAAAGCATGTTAAGGAACAAACCAAAGAGGTTGAAGTTGCACCAACTCTCCCGCCGACTGTGTACGAGCCATTGGAAAGACCAACACCGGCAAAGATGCACTTCAGCGCTCAGCAAGCTCATATGCGTGATGTTGTTAAGACTCCAGACGAGGTCGCCGATTTGCCGATGCACGAGGAAGCTGACTTTGAAGAGTACAGTGAAGATAAGGACAAGGAGGACGAGAAAGAATGTGACACCAAGGCAAAGCCTGATGCTGAGGATTTGAAGGAGACTGAAGTGAAGGAACCAGAGAAGACTGATAAAGTAGTAGTGGACAAGTCTGCTGAAAGTGATAGATTATGTGATACGGTAAAGGACATACAGCAGGAAGTCCAGGAGGTAGTCGAGAAAGTTGAAATTGATACCAAGGTTGAAAAACCCCCTAAGCTGGATACTCAGTCATCACTGGTAAAGGGTAAGCTGGATGAGGCTGCCGTGCTGAAAGATCTTGAATCGCAAATTATTCCAACAGAACCGGAAATTCAGAAACAACCAGCAGTTACAAAGGTGGAAACAACACCAGCAACTGAGAACGATGACGAAGAAGACAAAAAGTCAGTTCACGAAGAGGTAATCGTTCCTAAAAAGGTCGAACCTAAGGTGCCAGTTCCGACGGAACCATCAGTTCTGGATGAAATTTGGGGTGTGCCTCAGAAGGCTGAAGAAAAGTTGGAAGAATTGAAGCAAATCATCGACGATAAGGCAAAGGAAACCACGTCGGACCTGGTGTCCATAAAAGACGAGATGGTTAAGGAAATTGTTGAACGCAAGGAAGAAGTCGTTGATAAGGTGAAGGAGGAAGTTATCGCTGCCGATAAAATGGTGAACGAAACGGTGGCTAAAATGGGTCAGGAAGCGGAGAAAGCTGCTATACAGGCTGCCAGTGAAGTAGTGAAAGAGGTCACTGCTAAGGCTGATGCCGTCGGTGAAGAGTTGCAGAAAAAAGCCCAACAGTTGGACGATAAAGTTGCATCTGGAGTCGATAAACTCAAGACTGACGTTGAGAAGGTTGCTACCAAGGCCGATGAAGTTCTTGCCAGCATAGAAACTGAGAAGAAGGAGCTTGAAAAACTTGCCACAGATATTAAGCAAGAAGTGGCGGGTAAGCTTGATGAAACCAAGAAACAGCTGGATGATGAAGTGAACAAGGCTGTTGAGCAAGTTCAGCAGAAAGCTAAAAGTGGTATCAGCTCTTTCTTTGGTGGCATTACTGACAGCATCAAGTCAGGAATCGAGAAGGTCGCCGATAAGGTCGAAACTAAGCTCAAGGATAAAACCGAGCAAGTTGAAACGAGACTTCAGGAGGTGACCGACAAGATCGAAGAATTGAAGGCTAAGGAAGTTGTTGAAGAAGTGTGCGAGAAGAAGGAAGTGACAAAGGCTCCAGCACCTGAGCCAGCTGTTGGTTTCGAAACACCTTTCGGTTACGAACGAACATTCACTCAGGAACTGCGAGAGACTCATATAACAACACTAGATTCGCCGGTCAGCGATGCCGACAAAGTTGGCGATATGAAGACCATGGTCAACATTCCGCATCACATCGACGAAGATAAGGAGTTAGAAGAACTAGAATCCAAGCAGATGACTGGTTCGTACGTTATCGAAGATGTGAAGTATTCTACTTTCGAGGAAGCCAATCTTCGTGAGATTAAGGAGGAAGACGAGGAAGATCGCATTACTCCGCCGCAAAAGGATGACAAAAAAGACGCGGTACCAAAACTTGAACCTGTCGGTGTTCCACCACGAGCCAGAACCCCAGAAGATGTCGCCAAGATAGTAGCAAACGTTGCCCAAGTTCTTAAGTCCGATAAGGATCTCGAAGAAATCATTCCTGGTTTCGATCCACAAGAACTGGAACGCAAGCTATCGCTGGGAACAGCCCGTGAAGAAGATGTAGGTACAGTTCAACGAATGCTTGTCACCGCTAGCAGCGAGGATGGTGGTGAAGAAACGGTTATCTGCCCAGATGGAACAATCACCTTCTCCAAAACGGCAACTCCGGAGCCCTCTGTTTCTGGAAAAACAACTCCAGAAATCAAGGTAGACGAGGAAATTACACAAGAAGAAACTTCTGAAGGAAAGATCGAGAAACCACAATTGCCAGAAGTGAAGCAAGACGAAAAATCAAGTCCCACATCCTCAGGAAAATCGTCACCAGATTTGAAGACATCGCCAACGTCGATTGAAGAGAAAGATAAGCATGAACTATCAGAGAAAGTGGTGATTGAAGCTAAGAAGATTCCTGAAAAGGCTTTCGAAAATCGTAAGGAATCCATTGCGGAGCAATACGACCAGATCGACGACTCGAGGCGTGAGTCTGCTATCAGCACCTTCAGCGAACGCGACTACACCAAAGACGAGAGCTCGATTCTCGACGAGCGTGACTCTTCGCGAGCTCATTCGATTTCAAGTCACGTTAGTGATTTAAAAGAAGATGCAGCTGACGTCAAGTCGGTTGCTGAATTCCTCAAGGAGTCGGACAAGGTTGACGACAAGCATCAGGAGGTATTTGCTGAGCCAACTATACTACAGGCTAGCTCGATAAAGAAGAGTGATGATCTGTCCAGTCCCGAATCCATAACAAGCCAAAAAACCGTATCCGAGAAGTCTGTTACGGCAGAGGCAGTTGTTGCAGCCAAACCAGAAGAGAAGGGCACTGTTGATGTTGATTCTAAACAAGAGCTGTCGAGACCGGAATCAGCTGCTAGCCACATCAGTGGAAAAGCATCTGCACCAACTGAAGTATCTCGCCCAGAATCAGTAGCATCAGTTGAGAAATCACCTGTTACCGAAGTTAAAGTTGATGCAGCTAAAGACCAATCACGACCCGAGTCAACTGCTTCCCATGTCAGTGAAAAGGCTACATCAGATAAGTCTGATGTAAAGGACGATGAAAAGCAAGTATCTCGACCAGATTCCGTTGTGTCTCACGTCAGTGAGAAGGCTTTGTCGGATAAGACTGATGAAGAGCACGAAGTGAAAGAAGCATCTCGGCCAGAGTCCACTGCATCTCACGTGAGCGAGAAAGTTATTCCTGCTGCTCAGCTTGAGGCTAAGCAAGACGAAAAGGCAACGTCACGACCAGAATCAGCTACCTCTCATGCCAGTGAGAAAGCAGAAGCTAAGGATGCTTCTCGACCGGAATCGGTGGCTTCTCACATAAGTGAGAAGACTTCTTCCGAAAAGGCGGAAGTCAAGCAGGATGAAGTAAAAGATACTTCGCGACCAACATCGGTCGCTTCTCATATCAGCGAAAATGCGGAAACTAAAGAACCTTCACGTCCAGAGTCGGCTGTATCTCACGTCAGTGAAAAGGCTGCATCTGAGAAAGAAGAAACCAAGCAAGATGATAAGCAGGTTTCACGACCGGAATCCGTTGTCTCTCACATCAGCGAGAAGGCTCCATCCGAGAGGGAAGACGTAAAAGAGGCTTCACGACCAGAATCAGTTATTTCTCATGCTAGTGAGCAAGCATCATCCGAGAAGGTAGAAGCCAAACCAGAAGAATCTAAGGTTGCTTCACGGCCAGAATCGGCTGCATCTCATGTCAGTGATAAGGCTGCCTCTGAGAAGGTAGAAATCAAGCAAGAAGATAACAAAGAAGCTTCTCGACCTGAGTCGGGTGCTTCTCATGTGAGTGACAAGACCCCGCTTGAAAAGGCAGAAACCAAGCAGGAGGTTTCACGACCAGAATCAGCTGCGTCTCATGTCAGTGAGAAGATGGAAGTTAAGAAGGAAGAAATTAAAGATGCTTCCCGGCCAGAATCAGTAGCTTCCCATGTTAGTGAGAAGGCTGATGTTAAAGAAGTCTCTCGACCTGAATCCGTCGCTTCTCACCTGAGCGAGAAGGCTGCTTCCGAAAAGGTAGAAGTCAAGCAAGAAGAATCTAAGCAAACATCACGCCCGGAATCAGTCGCTTCTCACACCAGTGAGAAAGCTTCATCTGACAAAACAGAAGACAAGGGAGCTTCACGACCAGAGTCAGCAGCTTCTCACGTCAGTGAGAAGGCTTCTTCCGAAAAAGCTGAAGACAAGCTGGAAGAACCAAAGGGAGCTTCCAGGCCTGAATCTGTCGCTTCACATGTGAGTGAGAAGGCTCCTTCTGAGAAAACTGAAGAATTGAAGGAAGCTTCCAGACCTGAATCTGTTGCTTCACATGTGAGTGAGAAAGCTCCTTCCGATAAAGCAGAAGATAAGCTAGAAGAGCCAAAAGGAGTTTCCAGGCCAGAATCCGTCGCATCACACGTCAGCGAAAATTTAGAAACCAAGCAGGAAGGAGTCAAACAAGCATCACGACCAGAGTCGGTCATTTCTCACTTGAGTGAGAAAGCAACTTCTGAAAAGGTAGAAGATCTTAAAGATGCTTCACGACCAGAATCAGTCGCTTCTCATATCAGTGAGAAGACAGAAACCAAGCAAGATGAAGCAAAACAGACTTCACGACCTGAGTCGGTAGCGTCTCATGTTAGTGAAAAGGCTCCATCTGAAAAAACAGAAAGCAAGCAGGAGGATTCTAAGGTGGCTTCACGACCAGAGTCAGCCACCTCTCATGTCAGCGAAACGGCACCTTCCGAGAAACCAGACACTAAAGAGGATTCACGACCAGAATCAGTGGCATCGCACGTCAGTGAAAAAGCACCGACCGATAAGGCAGAAGCCCAGCAAGAAGAGGCTAATGCTAGTTCTCGACCAGAATCGGTTGCTTCTGTCATTAACGAGAAGGCTCCATCTGAAAAAGCAGAAGACAAGAAAGGAGATTCTAAGGAAGCATCACGACCAGAATCAGTTGCTTCTCACGTCAGCGAGAAACCAGAATCCAAACAAGAAGAAGATAAAGCGGTTTCACGACCGGAATCCGCTACTTCTCACGTCAGCGAGAAAGTTGAAGCCAAGCAAGAAGAAGCTAAAGAGGCTTCACGTCCGGAATCGGTTGCTTCTCATATCAGCGAGAAGAAACCGTCCGATAAGCTAGAAGAAACTAAAGATGCAGATGCTAAGGAAGCTTCACGGCCAGAATCAGCTTCATCTCATGTCAGTGAGAAGGCTACGACTGATAAGCCAGAAGCGAAAATCGAGTCAAAGGAACCATCTAGACCAGAATCTGTTGCATCACTCGTTGCTGAAAAACCGGACACGAAATCAGACGCGAAGGAAGCCTCACGATCGGAATCAGTTGCATCTCACGTAAGTGAGAAGGCTGAGATAAAAACAGAAACCAAGCAAACTTCACGACCGGAATCTGCTGCATCTCATATCAGCGACAAAGTCGAAACTAAACTAGATACAAAAGAAACCATTCGACCAGAATCAGTTGCAAGTCATGTGAGTGACAACATTGAAGAAACAATTCCCGCAGTGGAAACTAAACTACTGGCACCAGAATCGAAAGAACCGTCAAGACCAGAATCCGTTGCTAGTCACATCAGTGAGAAGGAGGAATCAAAACATGATGACAAGGATGCTTCCAGACCCATTTCAGCGGCAAGTCATGTCAGTGAGAAAGCGACGGCAGCTGATGAGAAGACCACGTCCAGACCTGAATCAGCTGCCAGTCATGTTAGCGATAAGGCTGCTGATAGTATTGTGAAGTCAGATGAGAAGGAGTGCTCTAGACCTGCATCCGTGGCTTCGCATGTAAGTGAAAAGGCTCCTTCGGAAAAATCTGAACCTAAAACGGATGCCAAGGATGCTTCACGTCCGGAATCCGTTACAAGTCATGTCAGTGAGAAGGCAACTGCAGCTGATGAGAAGACCACGTCCAGACCTGAATCAGCTGCCAGCCATGTAAGCGATAAGGCTGCTGATAGTATTGTGAAGTCAGATGAGAAGGAGAGCTCTAGACCTGCATCCGTGGCTTCACATTTAAGTGAAAAGGCTCCTTCGGAAAAATCTGAGCCTAAAACGGATACCAAGGATGCTTCACGTCCGGAATCCGTAACAAGTCATGTCAGTGAAAAGGCGACTACAGCTGATGAGAAGACCACGTCCAGACCTGAATCAGCTGCCAGTCATGTAAGCGATAAGGCTGCTGATACTATTGTGAAGTCAGATGAGAAGGAGAGCTCTAGATCTGCATCCGTGGCTTCGCATGTAAGTGAAAAAGCTCCTTCGGAAAAATCTGAGCCTAAAACGGATGCCAAGGATGCTTCACGTCCGGAATCCGTAACAAGTCATGTCAGTGAGAAAGCGACTGCAGCTGATGAGAAGACCACATCCAGACCTGAATCAGCTGCCAGTCATGTAAGCGATAAGGCTGCTGATAGCGTTGCGAAGTCAGATGAGAAGGAGAGCTCTAGACCTGCCTCCGTGGCTTCGCATGTAAGTGAAAAGGCTCCTTCGGAAAAATCTGAGCCTAAAACGGATACCAAGGATGCTTCACGTCCGGAATCCGTAACAAGTCATGTCAGTGAAAAGGCGACTACAGCTGATGAGAAGACTACGTCCAGACCTGAATCAGCTGCCAGTCATGTAAGCGATAAGGCTGCTGAAAGCGTTGCGAAGTCAGATGAGAAGGAGAGCTCTAGACCTGCCTCCGTGGCTTCGCATGTAAGTGAAAAGGCTCCTTCGGAAAAATCTGAGCCTAAAACGGATACCAAGGATGCTTCACGTCCGGAATCCGTAACAAGTCATGTCAGTGAAAAGGCGACTACAGCTGATGAGAAGACTACGTCCAGACCTGAATCAGCTGCCAGTCATGTAAGCGATAAGGCTGCTGAAAGCGTTGCGAAGTCAGATGAGAAGGAGAGCTCTAGACCTGCCTCCGTGGCTTCGCATGTAAGTGAAAAGGCTCCTTCGGAAAAATCTGAACCTAAAACGGATGCCAAGGATGCTTCACGTCCGGAATCCGTAGCAAGTCATGTAAGTGAGAAGGCTACTGCTGACAAGCTTTCGGAGAAGGAAGCGTCTCGACCCGAATCGGCAGCCAGCCACATGAGCGAACAAATGACCTCAGATAAGTCTCAACTGAAGGAAGACAAAGCGGCTGAGAAGACATCGGAAAAAGCTGACTCTCGTCCAACTTCAGCAGCATCCGACAAAGCACAGGACAAGTCTTCCGAAAAGGGAGAATCACGACCAGCATCGGCAGTAAGCCATGTAAGCGAAACAGCTCCATCGGAGAAGCCTTCTGTGACCGAAACAGTCGATGAGAAGGATAGCTCTCGTACTTCATCGGCAGCTAGCGGTGCTAAAGCAGAAGAGAAAGAAGTATCCCGACCGGCGTCATCGTCAAGTCACTTGAGCGATAAATCACCTGCTGTCGATGCAAAGACAGAAGCAACAACGGAGAAGGAGCCATCTAGGCCACAGTCAGTCGCTAGTGAAGCGAAGGAAGCTTCTCGTCCGGAATCGTCTGCTGGTGATAAAGCACCGGTTCTTGACAAGGCATCACCAGTAGAGGCAAAGATGGATGGTAGGGAAGCATCCAGACCTGAGTCTGCCGGTAGTCATGTGAGTGAAAAGGAAAAATCTGCTGAAACCAAGATCGAGGATAAACCCGCTTCCAGACCGGAATCGACTGCTAGCCACATTAGCGAAAAAGACAAGGAAGTGGAACGTCGAGAATCTACGATTAGTAAAGTAAGCGAAAAGGACGTTCTGAAGACAGACCCGGAAAAAGAAACATCCCGACCGACATCGGCTGCCAGTCATGTGAGTGAGAAGTCCTCAACTGCTCCCGAACAAGAAAAACCGGTTTCGAGACCAGAATCTGCAGCTAGCCACATAAGCATCAAGACTCAGGAATCGGAAAGTGCTTCCAAGGGGGAACCGAAAGATGAGAAGGCTTCATCTCGCCCAGAATCCGTCGCCAGCCATGTCAGTGAAAAAGACAAAAAGATCGACGAGAAAGATCAGTCCCGTCCGGAGTCCGCAGGTAGTCATGGACTCTCGGATAAAGCACCTGCGAAGATGGAAGACAAAGAACCTTCACGACCAGAGTCAGCAACTAGCCAAGCAAGTGAGAAGGTTACATCCACTGAAACTAAAGTTGCAGCGACTGACAAAGTGACCGCTGAAGGTGACTATTCCCGACCGGATTCACCAGCCAGCTGCTCCAGCGATAAAGTCGTACCCTCCAAGGAACAAGAATCTACGTATGTTGAGAAGGACTTGGCCCGTCCGGATTCCGCTTGCAGCTATCATGGTGAACCCATTCCCGATGAGAAACCATTTTCGCGTCCAGAATCTCCAGACAGCTGTGCCGGTGATCAACCAAAAGAAGAAAAGAAACAAGAAACCAGCGTTGAAGAGGTGAAGCAAGAAACTGTTGCCGCACAACAAACTCAAAAAGAACAGAAGGCGGAATCAGTCGAAGAAAAAGAATTCTCACGTCCCGGCTCACCTGCCAGTTGCGGAGACGAGCCACACCTCACATCAAAACACCCAGAAACTAATGTAGAAGAGAAAGATCTTACCAGAAAAGACTCCGTTGCCAGCTATCACGGAGAACCCATTCCAGATGAGAAACAATTCTCCCGACCGGAATCTCCAGATAGCTGTGCTGATGATGAACCGGAAGTTAAGAAGGCTCAGTCAGAAGTGGAAACCATCAAAGTCATCGACGTAAAGCAAGCAAGTGATACCACACAAGAAGCTCAAAAGCAACAGAAGGTGGAATCCGTAGAGGAGAAAGAATTCTCCCGTCCTGATTCGCCAGCTAGCTGCGGAGACGAGCCAGAGCTCACATCGAAGGCCCCAGTTTCCAGTGTTCCGGAGAAGGATCTCACCAGAAAGGACTCCGTTGCAAGCTATCACGGTGAACCGATTCTAAATGGACAATCATTCTCACGACCAGACTCTCCGGCAAGTGGAGGTGAGGAGGAAGTGACCAAAGTAACTGAAAAGTCCAAGGAAGCTTCTCGACCAGAATCCACCGCCAGTTACGTTAGCGAGAAGGACAAGTCACCTGTTGTCGGCGAAACGAAGGAAACTCTGAAGGCGGACGAGAAGGAAGCATCCAGACCAACATCGGCTGCAAGTCACGCTTCGGATAAATCGGCTACCGTTGAATCCAAGACGGAATCACGCCGAGAATCGGCTGTCAAGGATGAACGTCCATCGTCGGCCCTGAGCGATCACGCCGAAGAGCAGGAGGAGAAGATCGTCATGAAAGAATCTCGCTCGAAATCAATGTCGGTAGTCATGTCATCCACAACGCAGCGTAGTGGATTCGAAGGTAGCGCTCTGGGAATACTGGAAGAAAGTGCAGCTGCGTCCCGAGATGACTTGCATATGCTGAAAACTCCTCGTGACAGTATAACCAAGATTGAAGAATTGGTGCTTAAGGAAAAGAAACAAGAAACGAGCGCATCCAAGATTGGAATGTCACTGTTTGGACCGACTCAATTCCCGGCAGATGAAAAGCAGGAATCTCAAGGGTTCCCGGTTACTGGAACCGAACATGAGAGTCCAGACCAACATGATTCCATCATTCCGGGAGTTGATAAGTTACTGAAGGATACTGCCAGTTCGATGAAGGAAATTGAGCAAATGTCAACGACGGTTATCTCAATGATTCAGACCACAGAGAAGAAGGAAGAATCGGCCAAGCAGGAGAGTAAAAGCTCATCCCTTGTCTTTCCACTGCTAGACAGTGGCAAGTCTACTCCAATGTCCGGCGACAAAGACAAATCACAAGCGTCCAGCATTAAATCGGTCAGTCCTCATGAGAAGGATTCGCTCGAAGGAAGCTCAGCATCGTTAAATACGTTTATCGAAAAAGACAGTCTGTCGGAAAGTACGTCCAAACAGGTAACGATCAAGATGAGCGCCGTGGAAGAAACTACTGCTCCGAAGACTACGACTACAAGTACTAAGGTAGAGTGTACTGAACTACTCGGCGGGGCCAAGACTCCACCAACTGCTCCGATCAGTCCGAATATAGCGAGAGAAGACTTTAGTTTGGGACATCATATAGAGAGCACCGTTGCCAGTAGCATGACAAGCGTCACTTCCTCCAGCCAGATGACGGTCAAGCAGCAGAAGGATGATGCGTCTGGTATTTCAACACCTAAAGAATCTGTACCATCTGGTAAGAGCAGCCCGGGACTGATGTCCGTTCACACAGGTAGTACAGATAGTGCGTCCAAGTCAATCAATCTCGGCCACAGTTCAGGTATTGAAACATCAGAATCATCTCCGAAACCAACGTCTCCGTTCCCGAAATTGCTGGACACGTTGAAAACCGACGAGGTGAAGACCAGCTCCGGAATGAGCACCCCGGACATGACCCGTACCTCTACACCAGATATGGTTGATTCTCAGATCGAACGTATTCCCGAGGGCACGAGCGAGGAAGTGCAGGAAATGGTTACCACCACGACAACCACGACGACTAAGCGTTACATAATTAAGGACGGTGAAAAGATCGAGGTTGGCAGCACAGTTAAGACAGAAGTATCCGGAGATGCGAAGAAGGATGACACTAGCAGTGCTGGAGAATCTATGTCGACCTCAACGACCACGACTACTACTACAACTAAGGTCCTGAAGGATGCCATTAAAACTCCAGCCAATCTCACTTTGTCCACGACTGAAGACCGCAGTCTAACTGAAGAATACGACGATAAGGATGTTCTGTCGCCACGATCGGACATTTCTTCGGGACAGGCTTCCCGGATCGTCGCTGCTTGGCATGATGAAGATGCTCCCGGATCGCCAATGAGTGTTACTTCACAAGCTCCGCTATCACCTAGCACGAAGTATACCTATGAATACGAACTGCAGCATTCGAGTTCCGGTGTGAGCAAGAAATCGGACATTGAAATCGACGACAGCCAGGACGAAATTCCTCCACAGTATGGTAGCGACGAGGTCAAATCGGCCATTACCATCGCTTCGGCGTACAAGCCTGATCCCATGAGCACCTCCTTCTACGGACAGCTTCCAGATGTCTCGGATACGTCGGTTACTGCCACTGCGGCGTCAACCAAGTCGGTTCCGATTCCAATCGCCGCTGGTAAAGCATTCGCCAAGACCTACATGGAGTACGCTTCCAGTGGAGAAAGTAGCGTAGACTCCAGTCACCTCCACAAGACTGGAAGTGATCGCAAATTCCTGGACGAGGCAGATCTGGATTTCGAGAAGGCGTTCACCAAGTCCGATAAAGTAGACCTGATGACTCAGTCGATGCATTTCTCCAGCGAAAAGGAATTCATGGCAGCAACGACAACGACTTCATCCGCTTTAACTACGGTTGCCGATAGCAGTAAGAAAGAATTGGACTTTACCGCCAGCGGTCTACCGGCTACAGTTTCATCGATGGAAGCACAAACTACACTTACCACAACAGCACAGTCCAGCACTACGGTTACATCCAGCGGAAGCACCAGCACCAGCAAACAACAACCCCAATCGGATAAGGACAAAGATCCGCTCGCGTCCTGGGGCAAACCACTGGGCCTGCCATCTCCTGCTCCGTTGAACGACGAAAACATGAAAACAACCCCCAAGAAGGAACGCAAGATGATCCTCAGCAAGACGAAGTTGAACAACGAAAAGAACCTACGGAAACGATCGGAGTCGCCGATCAAGGCCGCCAAGAAACCCGGCCCGGTCTACGTGGACCTGTCGTACGTGCCGCACCATGGCAACTCGTACTATGCCAATGTGGAATTTTTCAAGCGGGTCCGAGCCCGGTACTACGTCTTCTCCGGAACCGAACCGAGCCGCGAGGTGTACAATGCCTTGCTCGAGGCGAAGCAAACGTGGGAAGATAAAGAATTAGGTAAGATTTTTTTTCTCTACTGTTTTGCGGGTTCAGGCAAGGTCGTGCACGAGGAGGTGGAAATGATTAACGGTGGTTTGAAATATTCGGTGCCATTTTTTTTGAAAATAATTTATACAACAAATCTTTCAAGGTGTTTTGAACTCCGCAATAAATGTAATGAAGGTAAACATATGGCATTTGTTCGAAACATTTGACTTTCATTTGAAAGTCTAGAAAGAGATATATTAAGTAAATCACATACTTTGTACATACTGCAGGCATCCAATATGATAGGTTATCGGGATTTCATCTCCAGAAAACTTTCACTTTGAAGAAGTTCTGTGCACGGCCTCGACCTGTTTCCAGACCAGTAACGGATTCCAAAAACTAATCGATTGTATTTTGCGTCCATTCGCAGAGGTAACTATCATTCCAACCTACGACACGGACGTGCTCGGTTACTGGGTATCGGAGAACGAAGACCTGCTCGCCAAGTACCACATTGACCTGTCGCCGTCGGCCGCCCGCTGTACGATCAACCTGCAGGATCATGAAACGTCGTGCTCGGCCTACCGATTGGAATTCTAGGCCAGCGGGATATTTGTAGCATTTTCCAGCGACATCCACACGGTCCACACACAATCCCAGTCGGTGTCCTCACCGGGTGACTCTTCGATTGCTACGTCAGCCATCGCCGGAGTCAACCATCAGTGAGGAAATACTCGAACCTCAATGTCCCCCGACTTAGACCCCAGGCGAAACGACGCAGGAGAATGGAACACGTCTCCCCCTCTCTCTAGATTCCTGTATACCTACATACATATTGTTATGTTTTTAGAGCGTTAGGGGTCCCTAGGATCTCTAAAATATAGCGACAGGGTCTCTTTCTGGTAGCTGGAAAGGGACAAACATTTCGAATTTCCTATATTTTTTCAAATGTAACACTTTCGTTTCTGTAAGCAACATACACTGACACACACATATACATTTATACACATACACAAACACACATTCGATGTTCTGTAATAGGTGATAGTTAGTATTTATGAAACACTAGCCTAACAAAGGAATGAAACAAAACAAATACCTAGGAGAAGACAATTAATATGAGCTTAATGATCACACACACACACAAACCTACTTTAGTAATCAGGCAACCAGTAGCGAGCGAGCCCAATGTGGACAAAATCAACCAATGCTGAGATCTAACCTCAACCGATAATGATTAGACCGAGAATCTAGGAGCGAAATCCAAGCCAAAAAAAAACATCCAAACCAGGTCGAAGATAGAGACAACCGTATCTAGGAGCTAATTCGTACCAGTACCTATCAAATGAATCAACAAAAAAGCGACGAACGAGTCTTAGTGAATCAAAGTGATTAATTAAAATCTTACAGCAGAGCTAGAACAAGGTAGCTAGAGTTGTGATATTGTTTTTATTATTGAAAAACAGGCTACGGCATTTAAAGTTTCTAAAAACTAAATCAAACACCCGGATCCTTAAGCGTAAAAATGTTACTTCTTGAGTCGAATGTGAGCAAAAAATTTCCAAATAGAGTGGCCTATAAACACACCAATGCCACGTGGCCGTAGCTGCGAGAAAAATAAAACGTTTACCGGGTGTATTTTGTCAAAACAGGAAAGTTTATAAAATCTTGAAATTTAAAGCGAATCCCCGTGTTCGACTGCCGTGACTTCCTCGTCGTGAAGCGTCAAAATCGGACGCAACTTCCGTCTAAAGTATTTTTCAGAAAGTAAACATACACATACAAACATACAAACCAATGCACACAAATCACGCGCCCGCGCCATATTTTAGAGAGCACTTTAACATTTTGACACATTCGAACGACAGCCAAGAAACCGACGCCATTTTGGAAGTATTTTTACACCGATCAATAATAGCGTTTAGTAGTGAAACGTATTGACATGCTTATTCATGAGAACGAGAACAAAACATCACCGATTTTGACGTTTCACCGCGAGCGAGCGGCAATCGAAGCGAGGATTGTAGGAAAAGTCTAAAACAAACGGGACATTCTTATCAATTTATTAGAGAAGCAACATTACAGAGAAAATCCTCACACTCACTCATATATTTACGACTAATAAATCTATTGACACGTTGGCCTGTTGAATGACACTACATAGTCGCAAGCAAAGGCAAATTATCGAGATCGTATATTTTTATATACATACAGAAAAAGACAACTCTTACACAGGAATGTTCGAAACGGAGCTCCGCTCCGCCAGAAGGTAAAACTGGAACCTTGAAAGTTGATAAGCGATGGTTATTACAAAAGAAAATCTCTTTAATCTTTAATAAAAAAAAAAAATCTGCTAATATATACATAGAGAGAGAAAATGATAATGAAAACCAAACATGTTGACTAAAACTATCAGATAGGATGAAAAACTTGTTTAGAATTTAGTTCCTCCTCTTCCTTAAAAAAAAAATAGAAGCAACCAAACACAATGTTCTCACTCCATCACGATTCAGCTGTTATTTTAATACCGACAACTTGAAACTTTAAAACACAGTCTAGAAAAAGGTTTGACCTTCCACTTTTGTAAAACAAAACCAATGCCACGCCATTGCAGGGCTATAATAAAACTTGCTTGGCAATCCCAGTTATCAAAAAAATGTACCTACGTCCCCAAAATCCAACAAGTCCCCTTTCTACATATGCTATTATAGTATTAGTTCATCCAGCTGCTAAATTTATGATAAGGCAAGTTTCTTAGATTAAATCTAAAAAAAAAAAAACAAGTTATTCTCGAACAAATATTACATTACACACAAGCAGTTGATTGATACTAAATAAAAAGAACAAAAACAAAGAAAACTTAGAAACTAAAACAAAATCTTAGTGATGTTTATGCCAGCTAATACTAAAAAAAAAGAAAACAAGTGTTAAGTATTTAGAACAGAAATCCAACTGCATCAATGTCAGCGCAGCAGAACAGTGTGTACCGGAACTGGAAGGATAGTTGAACGAAAATTGACGATTTTTTATATGCGATTTTAAGCTTTTATAGTAGTGATGATAACTACACACACACACACACACATACACAGCAAAAGATACAGTAACGAAAACAAACACAACAAGGATCCTTCTTCAATGGCTTAGAAAAGTTATAGTTAGCGTTAAACGGGAAGATGAACAACCCCGCTGAAACAAAACCCTACCGCGCTTTCTTTTCAAATTTTCGAAACCTAAGTAAGCTGTGAGTTTTGCTAGTTTTCCAACGCCTTCTTTGTTATGTTTGGCTGCTGTGAGAGAACAAAGAATAAAAAAGAAGAAGCTATTTTTTAGTCTTATGTACTTTTTAATCTAAGTTGGCTGTAGTAAGCAGTACATTGAACGACAAGCATTGAGAACTGAGCTGTGTACCTACACTTTAATGAATGTTGAATGTTATCATGTGTGCGCGTAAAGCCAACTACGCCAGCTAAGGAGGGAAATCAAATCGCGTTCCATGATTCTACTAAATAAAGGGAACAACGGAACGACTGAAAGAAAGCAAAAATCCAAAAACGTGCGTAGTATGGTGCTAGGGGAAATGCCGGAAATGCCTTTTCTAGGAAAGAATCTAAAGAAGTAAAAACTCTGTAAAGCAAGATGTGTCGCTTTAAAGCAAATGAAGTAATAAACCGATGGCTTGTGGATCTAAACTGCATGTGAGAGACTTTTTGGATGTGATTTTACACATTTATTTATTGCGTTGAGAGTTATTGTTCGGTTCTGCCAAGCCAAGTGTATGTAGTAGCGTAGTTGCAGGGATGCAGTTTTACTGAGTTTGCGACATGTTTACGCGATAAGTTGACTTATTCCTTGGTTCAAGAAAAGGACGCAAAGAGAAGACTAAGATAAAACATAAAAGAAATGATATTAGACTTAAAAATTACAAGTACGCAAACACTTTTTTGAAGGAATACAAATAGAAAGACACATTGCATGTATTAAAAAAGCAAACAAAAAGAACTATTTAAAATATAAGCTGTATTATGATTATGGCACAGTAATAAAAAAAAAACAAATGAAAACAATTTTAGCTTCATCTAGTCAGTTGATTCAATGTTTCGTCTGTTCAAAAATTCCAAAAATAAAAAAACAAAAAAAACGAAGCGAGCCAGCATCTCTAGTTGACACCTACCAATTCACCATAAAAACATGCATTCCCCGCCTGAAGGTCTTTACTGTTGGTATTCTATTATGATGGTTAAAATTGAAGAAAAAGAAAACTGGCAACACTGTTGCACATCGAGATTTCACTATAAACAAAACAGGTTCATTCATTTGTCACTGAAGCACAGAAAAAGAATCAGTCAACCTAAGCCCTGACACACTTTTCTCAGACAATGCCACGCACGCAAATTCCAATGATCAATATACGAGAAAAGACAACAATTACAAATGATCACACGCTAAATCAATGCCACGTACCACATAATCTGCAATGTATGTTGTCTACGAGCGCATGTGCAATGGTCATTCATTAAACTCAAGAAAAGAGCGCAGCATTGCGGCAGCAACAGGAAAGGAAAAACAATTACACATAATTATTCGATAGAAAACAAAAGAAAAAAAAACCAACAAATTCCATATAAAACAAATCAATTTAATTGAACAAGAAAAATATAATCTATTATTACGATGTATGGTCAACTAAATACAAGAAAAAAAAACTGTATTCAAAAATCAAATAAAAAGTATAAAAGTGAAAAATGTACAACCGTCGCAGAATGATTTATTTTGTGAATAATCCTGTCCCCAAAAATAAACTGTTCCGTCTCCACCGAAAGTGAACCAACCATCTCGACAATCGCCTCTGACGAACAGCGACAAACAACACTAACCAATCAGCGACGTCCATATCACCATGCGCAGACAGTGCGCTTCTATGAAAGTGGCACCCTTTAGGCAACACTCAATTCAAACCTCCAACTTCTCCTGAATCCTTCGCAGCTAGTCTTTTCGAAATCGCCCAAAACAATATCCCTAGAACTAGTGGCCAACCAGGGAAAAAATCGGTGCCTTGGTGGAATTCCGAAGTTCGGAATGCGATTAAGTTGAGACGTAAAAGACTTCGAGCTCTCCAAAAAGTACCAAAAGATGATCGTCAGCAGTCGTACAAATTTGTTGAATTCAATTTTCGCTTCCTCCTCATCTAGCTACAACCAGCAATTCCTGGCACGGAAAAGGGAATCTGAAGGCTCTGCCTCTAGCTTTGAAACAGATTTGGATATTGGGTTTAATAAGGAAAGGACTTTAGTTATGCAGAACTTGAATGGGCTCTTCGTAGGGTAAATGGCTCATCAGCCGGTCTGGATGATGTTGGCTATCCTCTTCTCAAGAACCTTCGTATAATTGGAAAGTCAATTTTGCTATCGCTGTACAATAACATGTGGGATAATGGCGTAATCCCTGTTGACTGGAAATAAGGTTTATTGGTACCAATTCCGAAACCAGGTAAGGATAGAAGTGTTGCTGACAGCTATCGTCCAATCACTTTGGATATAGGAAAGGTTCTTGAGAAGATGGTTAACCGACGGCTATTGGATGAGCTTGAGTCACAAGGATTACTCGATAACAGACAATTTGCTTTTCGCACCGATAAAAGTTCTGATGACTACTTGACTGAACTGGAAGACCTTATTAAAAAACACTTAGATCGCGATATGCATGGTGACTGTGTATCCCTAGATTTATCTAATGCATACGATCGTGTATGGCGGTTCCCCATCTTACAGTCCCTTGTAGAATGGGGAATCAAAGGTCGTATGGGTCGTAATGGGGCCTCCCTTAGCTCAGTCGGTAAAGACGCAGCTACAAAGCAAGACCATGCTGGAGGTGACTGGGTTCGATTCCCGGTCCAGTCTAAGAATTATTCGGGTTGGAAAATTTCTCTACTTCCCTGAGCATGCGCTTGAGCATGATTGACCGCCCACGGTTGCTACTCTGTTATTGCCAGACTAGCTGTAATTACACAGAGATCCAATAGACGATGCTTGGGACTAGCAATCATCCTCAATGTGTAAAAACTGGTGATCTCAAACTAGGCAATACCAGCGCCGGCCGTGCCCGAACACAGGTCAAGAAAGGAAGGGGTAGGAATGTGTTGACGTGACACTCGCTTTGATGGAAGCCGAGAACACCTCTGCACTTCCACGAGGAATCACTGGGATGTTGGGTAAGAGGGTTTGGTTTGCAGCAGGGTTCGTTTTGGTAAACGATAAGCTGAATTGATGTCCAAACAATCATATAACGCGAAGGAGCTTGGAATTGAACCCACGGTCTACTGCTCAGTAAGCAAAAACGTCTGCCACTAGGCAGACGAGCTTCTTTTTAATCATCGAGTTGCTGTTATTACCATGTAGTCATGTTAACAAATAAAACGATTGACGAATCTTGAATGTGGATGGGCTTGAGATTAGACTCATGATGTTCTGCTCAGTAAGCAAAACCGGTTGTTCTAAGGCCACCGAGCCCTTCATATCACATTATAGCGTTACTCAAGTTTTTATAACTATTCAAACCCGGCACCGACGACAACGAAAAGTTTTACAAAATACACGATAAACAAGCGATCTTACCATACATTTTTAATATGAAAGGACCTGGGACCGCGTTTTTCTGCTCAGTAAGCAAGCCACTGCAACCGACGATCATTGAAATCCTTAAACTAAAAGCTACGAAAGAGGCCTTCATTAAGGTCCACTTTCACGCGACGTTAAATGTTTCGATTTTCTCTTTACGCATGGTTCAGGCAATGATAACAAGCTATGACCGACGTGACGATTGTTTAAGACCTGGTTAAACAAGCTATTCAAATGAAATTACGTTCCTGAATTTCACTTGGCATGTAATGAACAACAGAAATACGCGATAATTCATATTTTCAGCGGTTGGTGGTTAATTTTAAATATACTAACGATACTGCCTATGACTACGACGGCGATTACGACGGCGCCTACGACAACGACCACAGCGAATTTGTAACTTACCATTTGTCTAGGATAAACACCTTTGCCCGGCACCTCCACTGGTTCTTCATGTCCGCTATCTGTCACTGTTTGCAAAATATCTAATAGCAATTACCTTTGTTGTAATACTTCCTGTATTGCCATGGTCATCTGGGAGGAGAGTCGCATCTAGTGCTTTCCCCAGGAATCGTTCACGGTGGAAAATTTCTCGACTTCCCTGGGCATAGAAGTATGATTGGACTTGCCACACAATTAGAGCGGTTCCATATCATTAAAGCAACGAGTAATTTTCATCTTTTTTGATTTGCATGAAACCTTGCATACAAGTTTTTGGGGAAGAAAAACGCCGTTTTGCATACTTGATTCGCCATTTTGAATCTAGCCTTACTTATGAGAAGGGCCTATGAAAAATGCACATGATATCTTCAAAAAATTGTATCTCGGAAACGGTTTGTTCGATTGGTTTGGTGTCTTGGGCGAAGTTTTAGACAATTGTTAGTGTTATATGGAAAAAATATGCACGGTAAAAAAAAAGTTTGGTATTTGTGTTTTGAACTAAAATATAAATTTTCGATTTAAAGTGACATGTCAATAATTTTTTTATTATCTTTATGTTATAGCTGACTGAAAATGCTATCTAGTGCACAGTAGGTTGTTCTGGAGAAAAATAGGTTACGATGAAAAAAAATGTTTTTTAAAAAAATACAATTTTCAAAAACGCTATTAAGAAAAGTCAAAAAAGTTTGTCACCCTAATTTTATAAAAGTACATCAAATTTGCAAACAAAAAGTACTTCGGTAACATTTTTCTAAGATGCACCGTTTAGAAGATATTACTGATTTAATATTGTTTTTTTTGATAACTTAATAAGTTTTGGCCCTTTTCGGATGTACTCCGTGTTTTTCCAGTTTCAAAAGTATTTTTTTCGGAAAGATTGGAAAATTTTGAGTTAAAATGACACTGACAGCTTAAAGATTCGAGTGAAATTCTCTGCCTTAAAAGTATTTTGAAAAACAAGTTACAAAATCCCACTATCAGGAACAATGATTTCTTCAAGTGATTTTTGGTGCGTTGTGCTGAAAATGTGCATTCAACTCTTGCATATCGTCTAACAGTTTAATCCATTTAAACTGGATGTGTTTATACTGTGCATATTTTCTCTCTATTGCCGAACATCACCACAGACATCAAACCGATGAGACAACTCGATTTCGAGATACACCTTTTTGAGAACTGCAAATGTAAGCTCCTCAATTAGCAAGATTCAAAAGAGCGAATTAAGCTTATTTCAGGGATGGTGATTGTGCGTAATAAAAAATAACATTATATGTTGGATATCATCAGTTTATTTTTATTCCTGTATTTTTATAAAATTATTGTTTACACAACTTTCTTAACAATATTTAATATTTTGGCATCATTGTCAGGACAGTTTGAATAAAGCTTTGCCTTTATTGTATTTTCTGATAGAGGAAGAAATGAGTGGAATTTTAGAGTTCCTTGAATTGTTTTTGCATTATTATATTGATTATTTAGCTGCAAAGACATATTTTCGTATTCTTCTGTAGTAGAATAACAAAATGACTACTTTGTAAGTTCTTCTTCTTTTCGTTTGTTTGCCCAATTAAACAACTCTCTTGCAGTCTTTATCGGGTGTTCGCGTTCTTTGGCTAAACTTGCTCTGGTAGCCATGCGTTTTATCGTACCTCCAATAGCATCGCATGGACCTTTTCCGTGCGATGTTGCGAAGAAATGCCATTCAGCGTCAATACCATACTTTGACTTAAATTTACAAAGGCTAGAAAAGTTTTTTCGGTTTTTATACTGTGAAGCAGCACCATCTGACATAAAATAAATTTTTTTTATGTTTTTATTTTGATCAATTTGTAAAAAGTTTATCATTTTATCAATAAACAAATTGACAGCGACTGAATCATTTATTATTAAGGAACGGTCAACGACGGAGCTAGCCTCGTTATGGCCAGCGTGGCCATGGTGGACTAGTTCCAACAAAGACCATGTTTACAATCACCAACTGTACGTAGTACAGCTAACTGGTATCTGATTACCTGTATCTAATACTTGTTAGCACGTTTTCAGCACAACGCACCAAAAATCATTTGAAGAAATCATTGTTCCTGATAGTGGGATTTTGTAACTTGTTTTTCAAAATACTTTTAAGGCAGAGAATTTCACTCGAATCTTTAAGCTGTCAGTGTCATTTTAACTCAAAATTTTCCAATCTTTCCGAAAAAAATACTTTTGAAACTGGAAAAACACGGAGTACATCCAAAAAGGGCCAAAACTTATTAAGTTATCAAAAAAAAACAATATTAAATCAGTAATATCTTCTAAACGGTGCATCTTAGAAAAATGTTACTGGAGTACTTTTTGTTTGCAAATTTGATGTACTTTCATAAAATTAGGGTGACAAACTTTTTTGACTTTTCTTAATAGCTTTTTTGAAAATTGTATTTTTTTAAAAAACAATTTTTTTCATTGTAACCTATTTTTCTCCAGAACAACCTACTGTGCACTAGATAGCATTTTCAATCAGCTATGACATAAAGATAATAAAAAAATTATTGACATGTCACTTTAAAGGGAAAATTTATATTTTAGTTCAAAACACAAATACCAAACTTTTTTTTTACCGTGCATATTTTTTCCATATAACACCAACAATTGTCTAAAACTTCGCCCAAGACACCAAACCAATCGGACAAACCGTTTCCGAGATAC